CAGGGTTGCGTCCTCTCCCCACTGCTCTTCTCCCTCTACACCAACGACTGCACATCTAAAGACCCCTCTGTCAAGCTCCTGAAGTTTGCAGACGACACCACACTCATCGGCTTCATACAGGACGGTGACGAGTCAGCTTACAGACAGGAGGTTAAAGAGCTGGCTGTCTGGTGCAGTCTCAGCAACCTGGAGCTCAACACGCTCAAAACAGTGGAGATGCTCGTGGACTTCAGGAGAAACCTTCCTGCTCTCCCCCCACTCACCATTATGGACAGCACTGTGACTGCAGACACTCACATAGACTCCATTGTTAAAAAGGCCCAGCAGAGGTTGTACTTCCTTCGCTAGCTGAGGAAGTTCAACCTGCCACAGGAGCTGCTGAAACAGTTCTACTCCACCATCATTGAATCCGTCCTCTGCACTTCAATAACTATCTGGTTCAGCTACCAAATCTGACCTCAGAAGACTACAGAGGGTAGTCCGGACTCCCTTCTCTCCACGAACTGTACTCTTCCAGAGTGAGCAAAAGGGCTAGAAAAATCACTATGGACCCCTCACATCCAGCACACTCCCTCTTTGAACTGTTGCCATCTGGTCGACGATACAGAGCTCTGAGCACCAGAACGACCAGACACAGGAACAGTTTCTTCCCTCAGGCAATCCATCTCATGAACACTTGACAATAACTGTGGCACACACAACACTATTTATACACCCATACACCAGAACGGCCAGACACAGGAACAGTTTCTTCCCTCAGGCAATCCATCTCATGAACACTTGACAATAACTGTGGCACACACAACACTATTTATACACCCATACACTTATTTATCTAACACCTACACTTAGTCTACACTTCAAATTTGCACATACCTGTACATACAAAAGCTGTCTATTGTAATATACCTGCACATACAATTGTCAATTTATATATTGTTATTATTTATTTACTTGTTCTATTTTTTTTTATTTTTGATTATTATCTGTGTTTTTGTACTGTCGCTGTCATTCTGTTGCACTGTGGAAGCTTCTGTCATGAAAACAAATTACTCGTATGTGAAAACATACCTGGCAATAAAGCTCAATCTTATTCTGAAGATTTTTTGTTTTGCCGTCCCCTTGCCACATGTTCAACAGGGGAAGATATTTACAATTTGATGGATAGCTTTTTCAGAGTAAACGAAATTGACTGGGCACGCTGCGCTGGAATTTATACAGACGGGGCGAAATTGATGACGGGAAGGCACAAAGGAGCAGTAGCTTTCATCCGAAAAGTTGCACCATCTGTTTCCTGGGTGCACTGTAGCATCCACCGAGAATCCCTTGCAACGAAAAACATGCCAGATGAACTTTTGTCTGTACACTGTGACGTGGTGAAAATCGTGAACTTTATCAAAGCTCGTCCATTAAATTTCCGGATTTTTCGTACTATATGCAATGAAATGGGCAGCGAGCACGAAACACTTCTGCTGCACACAGAAGTGCGTTGGTTATCGCGTGAAAACGTCTTAGCAAGAATTTTTGAGCTCAGGTGTGAAGTTCAGGAATTTTTTGCTCATAACCCGTTTCACTTGTCTTCATGCCCAGCAAGCAATAGCCGTCATTTCAACGTCTCAGTTAAGTATAGACCCGATATAGTCCGGCTATGTGTAACCCACTTCTAGCCCAAATAACCTTGAATTTGGTTTCATGTCGTTTTTTGGCAAAATAACTTGTGAGATGTATAATATTCCATCATGTAAGCAAAGTCAACAACGTTTACAAGGTGTTTGGTTTCATCTCTTTGACATGCTCAATACGTAGCCTGTGCGTAGCCACGATTTAGCTTGTAGTCAGAGCAGCTATCTGTAGCCCACTTATAGTCAAACCTGATTCACTGTAGTTTTTGGCCAGACAGCGCAT